CAACATCATTCACGACTGCGACGAGGTTTTCAATTACTGGGAGCCTCTTCATTACCTTCTCTACAAATCTGGCTTCCAAACTTGGGAATACAGGTTCTAGACCTCCTTATTCTCCCTCAATCATGCTCCTATGAACTGTAACTCTTCCGTTTTTTAGGAACTGTTAGTGAAAGACTGAGTTATTGAATGGTTGATGAGAAGATTGAACTATGAAGAGCAAGAATGCTTCATATTTATACAGAGAATACAAAAGATATTCAGAAAATCTATCTAAAATTCCGTAGAAAATCAGTAAATAAATCAAAATAAAATCTAATCTAATCAAAACTAAATCAAATAAAAAAACTAGATCTAACTCGATTTAATTAGATACTAACGGATAGCAATCTAAACAAATACGTGATCGATCTTTAACAGGAACATTTCAGAATTTCATTGAGCTTTAAATGCTGGTTATTGTACTTGCATCTTCGTATTCTGGTGTTTATAAATATTCATTTCTTGGTGCATTGGTTTCTTTTTTACCCGAATCGTTCTCCTAGTTTTCAGACTGTGAAAATGTTCCACCAATTGCTTGAGCTGGATTACATGCCAGATAGCAGTATCCTTTTCTTTTGGTAGAATCAGAGTAATGAATTACAGTAAGCAATGATATGTTAATCGAGGAATAAGGCAGAAACGACATGATTTGATGGAGTAAGTGAGGTACTAATGGCCTTGGAATGTAAAATCCTGAATGAATATCTGAATTAGATCATTCGCCTTTTGTGGATTCTGTATATATATTTCTTTAATTTATATGAATAACAAAATGATCGAGTGCATCATTCATCAACTAATGCATATATTTTTTTCATCATAATATCATTCTTGTTTTTCATTTGAAAATCGGTCTGACTTTGATAGAGCTGCTATTTCAGCGAGATCTTGTTTAATTCATATATTCATTGAAATTGCACTCAATTGCAGTTCCCAGTTTGCACTTCGATCATATTTGTACATTGTTCTTCATGAATTAGTGGGACGACCAGCTGCGTGGCTGTTTTCTGAAGATAAAGTTAAGGGTCACTCCTTTTCAGTTGTTATGTTCTCAATAGCCTACATGTAGATCCAGATATGTCTATGGTTCTAATCTCTCTTTAAATTGCAGGTGAGAGTATTCTTTGCTGTAAGAATTTTCCTTGGTCTTCTATCTGTCGTTACATAAACTGTTCTTGTAGTGGCACTTTCGAGGAGGTTTGGGAAACGCCTTGCCACTTACACGCTTGCAATGTTATGCTTAACCAGCGGTTGTTTCTTTGCCAGCACTAGTGAGTGGCCCTTTTTTTTCACGTCTCATATATATGTCATTTATTGTGTAACTTCTACATGAAACACCATTTTAGTTATATATTTGTACTGGAATTGCTTCAATATCTACTGTTGTTGCCTCATCTTCCAGGTTTCTTGCCTAGTTCGTTCTCCATGTATGCAGTATCTTTGTCATCTGGATTATTTCTACTGGAGAAACCTGCTCCAGCGGTTGCTGTTGCTGCTGCTGGTGTAATTCTTGGCTGGCCATTTTCAATCTTGGTTTTCCTTCCGATAATGCTTTATTCTTTACGCAGAAAATTCAAAGAGGCGTTTCTTGCAGGGGCACTGACATCCATATCTCTCCTTGTATGTCTTCTCACTTTGCTTTATAGTGTTACTTTTGATCTTTTGTTGAATGTGAACTTTTAGTAAGAGCATTCACACAATGGAATTTTGACTCCAATAAGAAAACACAAAAGGATTGAATAAATCAAACTTCTTGATCCAAAGATAAGCCTACAACTTCATCTTCTCCCAAAGATTCTGAATGTTTCAGGCACCATTCTATTGCACTCCAACCAGTAAATACAGTGTAGACCAGATTTAGAAAACCTCTTTTTTTCCTCCTGATCCTTAGTTCATAGAAAATGTGTAAACTGGGTGCTAAAATCTTTTCTGGTTTGGCGTGTAGGCCTTCTCACTGCTTGTTGACTACCACTATTATAAGAGGTGGACATCATCTGTGCTAAATTTTCTGATATATAACGTCTTAGGAGGTGGTGAAAGTCACTTGTATGGAACAGGAGGGCCACTTTTCTATCTTAGAAATGGATTTAACAACTTGAATGTTAGCTTCGTTCTTGCATTACTTTTCCTGGGAATTTTACCAATTTCAAGGAAAAAGTATATGCCAGATTTGCTCGTGGTCATCTCACCTATTTATATTTGGCTGGGATTCATGTCATTGCAGCCACACAAGGAGGAAAGGTTTGATACTTCTACAACTATATTGTATATCTTCCATCAAATTATTTTTTAAAAGAAAATTATTTTATTTCGTGGCCCTTATAAGTTACTATGTATGGTGTTTAGAAATTCAAAAGATGATTCTATGGAATAAAACTTTTTTCTGCTAGGAACGTCTGGGTTGTTGAAGTTCTGTAAAGATTTGCCCTTGTGCTCTGTTATAAATAGTATTCCCCTGTTTTGAATTTGATTGTATAATTTCTCTAGAATCTATAGAATTTGAAGGCTTTATCTAGCATTTCTAGTGAACATTCTTTGTTGAAACACACTGATTTTTTAAATTGCTGGTGGCATGTAATTGGTGTCTTTCACCTATTCTACATCGCTGCTCCAGATTCCTTTATCCAATATATCCTCTTATTTGTGTTGAAGCAATCCTCTTATTTGTGTTGCTGCTTCAGCCGTCATCGAGTGTTTTCCAGATTTTTTCAGAGATAAATACAATCCATATGATAATTCTCTACTTGTTGTGGTGAGAATCTACCATCCTCGCCCGAATTTATTAAGATTATGGTTCCTCTATTTAGCTAGTTAATTTGCTTTGCAGATAGCAAAAGTTCTTAGACCCCTTGCTCTTGGCCTTATCCTTTGCGCATCCCATGCTCGTACATTTTCATTGATTCATGGTTACTCTGCTCCTCTGGAGGTTTACAAGGTTATGGCTCACCATGACGAAATAGGAACAGGTAGGATACATTAGTTTTTCTTTTGGGGTTCTTGAGCTTGACTGTATGGTAATCTTTGATGTAGTTTCTCCTAATAGTTGCTAGAGTATGACTTCTTCCAGGTTCCACTATTTGTGTTGGGAGCGAGTGGCATCGTTTTCCATCATCGTTTTTCATTCCTGATTACGTGAATGAAGTACGATGGATTGACGATGGGTTCCGAGGTCTTCTTCCTTTCCCGTTTAATTCTACCTTGGGAGGGACTGCAGCCTCTCCACCATACTTCAACAACAAGAACAAGGCATCAGATGAGCAATATGTACTAATCCTCACTTCCTGAAAGCTTTTCACTCTTAATTTAATGCATGTTCTTTTACTGATGCCCCTTTCTGTGGTGATAAATCATGTAATGAACTTTATTAGCTCCGAAATCTCGATGCGTGCACTTTCCTTGTCGAGCTTCAACTCGATCGACCGTATGCTTCTCATGGAAGCGACACATCAAAGTGGGAGGTAAACATCCGTTTTCCCTCTCCCTGGTACTTGTGGCAGAGTAAGAATGCTTTTGGAATGTATATAAGCTGCTTAGGAGAATACCAAAATAATTCACAATATCTTAGGAGCCTGGCCTTGCTCGGTCTCTTGACTTTGAATAGGACATTAGCTCATAAGTTATAAGAGAGTTTGCTGAGAATGTTCCATCATGTTCTTCATCCTTTCCTCCTCCCCTAAATACAGAAAACCAGTCGCTCAGCAATTAAATTCTTTGGGTATTTTTTAATATATATAAAAAATCAACAATATAGGGTAGGAATTTTGAGGTAGATGTTTATTATTTAACTAGTTTAGTCTGTCTAGTTGTGACTAAGTTAGCTTAATTTGGAAGGGCTTTTTATTGTTGCACCTTTTTGTTTCTCCTCGTTAAAGTTGAGATAGTTTTTTTTTACCGAGAGTTAAATTCATATCTTAGATTGATAGTTAACGATTTTTTTCTTTTTTTTACTTTTATCTGTGATTTGGTGATACCGATATTGATATGAACTAAATTGTTAGTGTTTATGTTTTCATCTCCGATTTTTTTGCTATATTTGCAGAAACAAGGGCAACTTATTTTCTTTTCTATTACAAGAAGATCATTTTAATTTAAATTTGCAGAAATTATCTTATTATATCAAATAAGTATACATTTTGTTTTGAAATTTTTTTTTCTTTTAAAAGTAGTTGTATCAAAATTGTTTTGACATCTACTTTTTTTTTTTTTTTTTAAATTAAGTTGTATTAAAAATACGAATAAATAAAAATAAAAAAGAAAATTTTAATATAATTGGTTGCGGTTTTTACATCATTAATGTCGGCGTGTTAAATAAATTACAAATAGATATTTGGAACGGAAGAGGATGAAATTAAGTAATAACCATATTACAACAAACTAAATAGATTTATCCAATAATTAATTGATATTAGTAAGAATAGTCAAAATAAAATAAGCATTTTAAAAATCTTTAAAATTATAGTAAAGGTTAAAATTAAAATTCTCAAATATAACCATGCAAACACATTCCTTTATTGGGAAGTTTGGATTCAAAATCTTTTATGTTAGATAATCGAGTATTCTTGGGCATGAAGTCAGTATTCTTGGGCATGAAGTCGAGTATTCTTAGGCATGAAGATAATCAAATCGGTAATAATCTGGTATTCTTAGACATAAAGATAATCAAATTGGTCGTTGAAACTTTATTATGAATTTCTAACCACATTCTCTTTAAGGTCTGCTTATCTCCTATTTTTGAGTGTAATTTTTATTTTTTTCTATTTATTTTTACCTTTGAACGCTGAATTTTGCTGTAAAAACAACATTTTGACACGAGCATGCATGATAATATGTAACTTGATGCATGATAATATGTAACTTGACACGACAGTTCAGATATAAAAATTAATCATGCAAATGATTTTAAGGTTATCTCATAATAGTAACATTGATTTTAATCTAAAGTTGAGAGATTAAAAAAAAAAAAAATTGAAATCTTTGAATCTTGACGGAGTTGGAGAATTCAAAGAGAGAGTGAGAGAGAGAGAGGGAAAGAACTTTTATTTGGATGATTTGCATGCAGGAACCTCTGAAGAACTGAGAGGTTAAAACACAGGTAGATCATTCTAAACTCGTCCACTATTGACAAGCAAGAAAAACCCTTCTGGAAAGAAATGGCCATTTCCTAAACCTTAAGCTTTCAGGGGATTCTGGCTTTTTGTCACACAAACTGTTTACATCATCATAAAGAATGGTGTAGTTGGAGCTGCTAATGTTCCTGGAATAACACAGTTTATCATCATGATATCTGTAATCTTGCTGTGTACTCCCTAACCCTCTCGTCACCAAGTGGCCCTTCACAGTCATCATCCCCTGCCCATTTTGAACATTCTTCAGAGAGCTGATGAACGATCCAAGTCCATCAGCCTTCTTCTCATTGAATCCCAATGTCAAGTTGGCTATGGATTGGAAAGACCCATTTCCTTCATCAATGGTGTTTGAGTACATGTAAAGAGGAAAAGTTTTGAGAGATTTGAATGAATAAACATGACCAGATTCCTCCTTGGCATATACACTACTGTTGAATTGAATCTCCTGGTTCACAATCTGGCTATTCCCATCATTTCCCATCACCATTGAATTACTATAACTAAAATCTTGGTTTGATTGAGTTGTGATGATCCCATGAGAGGATTTCACCCATCCACTTGATGATACTGATCTGCTTGCCTTTGTCAAGAATGTTCCATCAGGACCTGTGAAGTTCAAATCCTCGGAATTCGATAGCGGCGAGATGATGTGATTCAAGAGCTTTCCTTCAGTTTTTGTGGATTTATCATCCAGCCAGAGATGCAGGTTTGCATTGATGTACCACACATTCAAGGCATGAGTGACACTAAATCCAAAGTGGTGAGACTTTCCATCTAACAAATGCCCTAGAAATGGGGTCAGTTCTATGTCATAAGAGGGTAGGTTGAAGGATCCAATTCCAGTAATTGGCCTCCAAAGAAGGGGATTCACACCTCCAGTATAGATCACAGTGAAAGGCCAAATTGCTCCAACAATTTCATCATCAAGATTGACTAAAACCTCCCTAAAAGGACCATTTCCAGGTGTTTGAGAAAGATTGTTTGCAAGAATATAATCATTTGGAAGATTTGAATACCAGAATTCATCATTCTCATGGAAAGATAAATAAACTTCCAACACAGCCCTGTAAGAATTTTGGGGAATTTCAAATTCCTTCACCTGAATATCAGTTGAATTCTGTACTTCAAACCACAGACCATCATTCAATGGCAAACTCCGGGAAATTGGTAAGATTAAATCGGCTCTAGAATCATAGCCAGCTGCTAATTTTTCAGAATATTGGAATCGTTTCTCTTCAGGATAAAAGTGGATATGAATTTTCACATGGTATATTCCTGTATACGTCTTATCGATAAGATTACCCAAATAAACAGCCAGAGTTTGATTCTTCGAAAGTAACGAATAATACCTCGTAATGTCCTTCTTCACCGTCCAAACAATTCCTGTAGCCTTCGGCTCCGCCGTACAGCTCCGAAGAATCTCAACGCCGCCGAGCCAAACGCCGAAGATGCGATCAAATTGCCTTCCTCTACAAGTCGCTTTCCATTCGAGAACAATCTTCGAAAATTTACTGAACGAGCAATGAGAAGGAGGACTGTAATCCGCCAGAACGGGCGATTTTCCATAAGTGTATCCGAAATCGTGTTGGAGGAGGAGGAGTGAGCATGGTTGGGCCTCGGGAGTTTCAATGGGTTTGGTCACTTCGAAGAAGAGTGTCGGTGGAGTAGTGTGGTTGCCGGTTGCTGCAAGCTCGGACTCAGAGAAGAGATCTGGCCGGCGTAGGCTCGTTCTGTGAAGATCGGCATTGGAGTGGAAGGGGAGGAGGATGAAGAGGAGGGAAATGAGGAGAGGGGATGAAAGAGAAGAAGCCATTAATGGTGGAAGAGAGTGGATAGATGTTTATTTGAATTGAGAAAACAACTTTTTGCCTAACTTTTTAGAATTTTTTTTTTTTTTTTTTAATAAAAAACTTAGTAGGATGTTTTACTTTTTTTTTTTTTTAATAGAAATTATATTAAAAATGTAAATTATTCATTAAAAAATAAAAATAGAGAAAAATACCCTAATCCCAGTAAAAATAAATATAAATTTGTACGATAATAGTAAAAATAAGAGGTAAAAATGGAGACAGAAAAAGCTTTCCCAAAAAGAGACAAAAAAAAAAAAGTTTTCCCGACCCAACAAAGATTCTATTTTTTTCGAATGATAAATAAAATAAATAAAAAAAAATCTCCTATTGCTCATAGTTGGTTTATGCCTAACAAATTTCAATATTGTTGTTTAATGTTCTTGTTTGTATTCTTGTAACAGCTCAAGGTCACCATTAGCTTATATTGTCCACTTTGACTCATTATGTATCGTTGTCAATCTCACGATTTTTAAAATGCCCGTTAGAGAGAGGTTTTTATGCCTTTATAAGGAATGTTTCGTTCTCATCTCCAATCGAGGTGGGATCTCGCAATTCTTTACTAAAAAAATGCTACCTAAACTATATCCGATTGAAATTAAGTATGCAAACCAAATGATGATGATATTAATCTCATTATCAAGAAGCGAGACAGTCACTCTGTTTCAAAGTTCATGAAAGGGTTCGGTTTAGAATAGAAATTTGACCTGAATCTCCGTTTAACAAGAAAACTTCCAATGGAACGTAAGGGGAAGCCATTGATGATCCAAATCTGGAGGAAGGTTGCAGTAGTTTGCTACCTTTTGCACATCGAATCGTTCGGAGGCGACGCCCTGTTCGCATCTGCCATATCTGCCAAACATCATACAAATCATTTTCAGTAACTTGGGAGAAGTCCATGCTTCCGTACAACCAAAATCACCACAAGCATCTAACAAGCAAGGGGATAAGTTCGTAATGTAAACAAAGAGATCGACTTTTTAACCTTAAGAAGTAAGGCCAACTTCCCCACATCTCGACTATTTTCATGGGACAAACACCTTATCCTACAATATTTGGTTGTCAAACTAACTCGTGTGACATTAAATCCTGCATAGGTGGCCACCATGTTTGAGTATGGTAGGCTCCTTATCTGTGTCATTACTCATTTCTATCTAATATTATCTAAAACGATATCATGCTACGATTTATCTTCTAATGGTGCAACTCATATTACTTTTTCGTATTACTTTTGTAACAACTCAAATCGACCGCTAGCTGATATTGTCCTCTTTGAGCTTCCCTTTAAGGTTTTAAAACGCATCTACTAAAGAGAGTTTTTCCACACTCTTATAAGGAATGCTTCGTTCCCCTTTCCAACCAGTGTGGGATCTCACAATCCACCCCCTTGGAGACCCAACGTTCTCACTGGCACACCGCCCGGTATCTGGTTTTGATACCATTTGTGAGATCTCACATCGGTTGGAGAGGGAAACGAAGCATTCCTTACAAAGGTGTGGAAACCTATTCTTAGTAGACGCATTTTAAAACCGTGAGGCTGACGGCGATATGTAACGAACCAAAGCGTACAATACTGCCAGCGGTGAGCTTGGACTCTTACAACTTTTCTTGTCAAATTATGGTTTCTGACACTCGGAAGACCAAGCAAAAGTTGACGGTCACGGTCGTTCAAAGATCAAAAGGAAAAAAAAAAAAAGAAAAAAGTGAAGCAAATATAGAGTAAACTTGATTCATGAGTGGTAAAGAGTACCTCAACTATCCCCATTTTTGGTGCATGAATAGCCAAACACAAACAGTAGTCATTTTTTTCTGGTTCATAATCTATGGAACTTGATGATGCAGCATCTCTATTGACTAGCATCTCCATGAACAGACAGTCCGCATCGCGATATCCCTGTATTTTATTTTCACGAGTTTTTAGGGGCAAGAGACCAAATGTCGAAAAAGAATTGACTTCAAATCATCCAGTTTTAAAAGATAACCTTCCATAGTCGCACCACCACAAGTGCCTGTGTATCTAGGAGCAATATACGGCCCAGTGAATCTGTAATCACTGCCAATGTACCGCTTGGTGACAAAGTCAGTTTCTCACCCTTCCTTGGATGGTCCTTCAAGCACGTCAAAAGAGAGGCTGCAGCAATCATGATGCCAACAAGTTCCTAAAAATGTTGTCAAAATTGTACAATAACTGATACATAGTTGTTAGAAGACTAAGCAACACTTAAACAACCAGTGGCATGTAATCAAGATCTAGATATATCAATAGTAGATGAATTGCATCTTTATACATAGTTGTCTGGCTCGGATACCATTTGTAACAGCCCAAGTCCGCCACTAGCAGATATTGTCCTCTTTGGGCTTTCCTTTTCAAGCTTCCCCTCAAGGTTTTTAAAACGTGTCTGCTAGAGCAAGGTTTCCACACTCTTATAAAGAATGTTTCGTTCTCCTCCCCAACCGATGTGGGATCTCACAATCCACCCCCTTCAGGGCCCAGCGTCCTCGCTGGCATGTGGAGCCTCTCTCCAATTGACGTGGGATCTCACAATTCACCCCCTTTGGAACCCAGCATCCTCGCTGGCATACCGCCTGGTGTCTAGTTCTTATACCATTTGTAACAGCCCAAGCCCACCGCAAGCAATATTGTCCTATTTGGATTTTTCCTTTCGGGCTTCCCCTCAAAGTTTGTAAAACGCGTCTGCTAGAGAGAGGTTTCCACACCCTTATAAAGAATGTTTCGTTCTCTTCCCCAACAGATGTGGGATCTCACAAAGACAATAAGTATAATGAGCTTAGTAAACGAGTTCCTACATACTTAAAGTTCATATGTTCACAATGACCAATCCAGAGCTTAGAATCTTTGCATGTCGAGATTGCTTGGCAAAGTATTAGATAGGATATCCAGTAAAAAGAACCAAAACTTAGTCCTAGGAAAACATGGTAATTGATTAAATATTACAAGAAACTATTCGCACCTCGAGCAAAAGCTTGACCCTTCGCATCGGGCTTTTTGGATGTTTTTGGATCACTTTGCCAAATCATTTTCGAAAAGGAAGCTATTGTTGAAAATGTTACAGGTACAACTTTTGATAAAATGGCTCCAACTAAAGACCTGCTTTTGTCTTCAGAAAGTCTTTACACATGATGCCACCATACAAAGTAAACAAAATGTTAGAATAAATGACAAGCTTCAAGTATAATATTTTTATTTAAAACTTAATTTCAGTAAAAGACCAGACAACCTAACCTGAATGCTGAAATAACAGCATCCTCTCCGACAGTGACTGCACAAAAATAACGTTCACTCGACTGCCCAACAATAAAAGCAGCTGAATTCAAATACCAGAATAATTTCAGAGAGCTTTCATGACATTTGCACTGCTCCGTGGAACAACCGACAAGTTTTTCGATTGAAATAAATAAACGACCTTTTTACCTGGAGTTCCATCAATGGAGGTGGCATAACACCGATGATCGCTGCATCTGCACACGCACTATATTTGCTGACATTCCACACTTGATAGGCTAATGTTTCAAAAGAATTTCCAGAATCCTCCATATCTCGACTGCTTGATTTCGGATCCCAAATCCGTGCATTTGATTCTTGAAACCATTTTCGCAGTGCATTCTGTGACCAAGCATGTAGGGTATGTTATATTCATCCAAAACAATCAAGATCCATAAAGGCAGAAGGCAATATTTCTTAAAGTTGAAGCATAGAGGTATAACATCAATTTTAAAATGAATCCACAGGAGGAAAAAAAACGAATTATGAACGATTTCTCAACAACACGATCAATGTCGAAAAAAACAGCACAATAATCTAAACCTACACTAATTTTCAAGAACAAACTCTTAGTAAAGAATGGCAGTAAGAACCTGAATATCAGACCCTTCAATGCGGGCAATTACGCCTGGCATAACAATCGAAACCTCCTCGTACGAAGATCCATAGGACAAATCTCTCTTCAAACCACGAACCCTAATTTTTAGAATTCTTGCAGGATGGATCATCTAAAAATACACAAATTGGAAACAAATTCCATCACCATTAAGAAAAATTGGAGTCATCCTCACGATCATACTACCAATTAATCCAAAATGAATACTAACAGTCATTCTATCATCTGAATTTATGAACTACCAATTAAGTGTATAAATAGATAAGTGAATCTACCATTCCACCAGCATCTTTCCAGGTGAAAGATCATATTAAACCCACAAGTACTTCCATAATTTTACATCTTCTGACTGCTAAAACAGTTGTGAGCTAAAACATCTTCAATTCCCCATATCAAAAAGATTACCTAAAAACGTATAAAAGACAATCAAAAGCGACAAGATCGGCTAGGTACCTGCTTAAGAATCAAATCCCCACTTAAGGAGTAAATCAGCAAATAACCACAAGAAGTCCCGGCCAAAATCACCTTAATTTCATCTAACACCAACCATTCTAAAGCGGAGATGTACTCCGCTTCGATCGGAGACAAATCAGAAGGCTTGATCTTCACCTGATACCCATCGGAACCGACCCAACCAAGAACAAGGATGACGGATCGATTGGCCAGCGCCAGAGAGTGCGAATCAAGGGCACATAGAAGATTGGGGTTGTCAACAAGCCAGCCTTCATTTCCAGCGCCAAAATCGTCAAGCTCCTCACAAGCTATGCAGCCCAATTCCGTAGTGTAGGTTCGTCGCGCCATTGCCGGAAAATGAACCTTGAATCCTATGCTTTAATGCAGATGAAATTGAAACAGAGGCATGGAGATTTGAGTTGAAAGAAGATCGAATTGACAAGTTTTGCACAAAGAAGCGTCCCTGCGAAACACGCGTGTCATTCCCAAATCTTAACTCCAAACGACGGGAGAATGTTTAATAGTTTTAAATTATCACTTTTAAAACATTTAATTTGTAATTTAAATTAATAGATAATTGTAATTATTATTATCATTTTTCCAATAAGTTTTTTCACGTGTTTTTACTTTTTAACCTTCGAAATTGCATGAATATATATATATATATATTTTTTTTAATCTGTAATCCAATCCCGACAAACCAACCCCTTTTTTCCAGTTTCCGGTTTGAGTTGGCTCGTGGATTTTTTTTTTTTTTTTTTTGACGAGTTAGCTCGACAAACCCAACCAACCAAAAAATAGAGTTACAATATAACCATGTAATCCATTCTCGACTACCCAACCCAAACCATACAATTTAAGTTGGGTTAGATCTTTTTTCCGATTTCCGGTTTGAGTTGGCTCGTGGGTTTATTTTTTTTGTTTTGACGAGTTAACCCGATAAATCCAACCAACCCAAAAATAGAGTTACAATACAACCATACCCTACTTAATTTTCATACTAATATTAGTAAATACTCGTAAATATTTAATATTTAAATTTTATGAGATTTTAGGTATTAATATAACATATATGATAAATAAATATGAATTTCTAAATAATTTTTTTTAAAAAAAACCAACCACTCCACTCGAAAACAATGAATTGGGTTTATTTGGATTGTGAATTTTATTTAGGTTGTTCTTTTCATCAAATCAACCAATTCAAAATTTTGGGTTAATTTTAAAAAAAAATTCTATTAAGATTTTTTTTTTTTTTTTGTAAAATTAAGATTTAAATTTTTTTTTGGAGGGAAAGAAGAATTTAAATTAAAATCGAAAAAGGAGTTATCATTTAATTCTGTTCCCTTAAACTAAAAAAAGTCCTAATCGGAATCCGTAAACTTCTTAATTATATATATAATCAATCTTCATTATTTCCAAAATCACAATCCCACGATGATTATCAAAAGAGAATTAGTCAGCAGAATTTGCAGAACCCATAAATGTCCTTATTCAAGGTCATTAATGGCGACGGCGACGGCGACGGCGGCGCCGATTCTCAAAGTAGAGATTGGCTCCTTCTACATTCCCAAACACAACCCTTCAAAACCCCTCGGAGAAGACGCCCACTTCGTAATTTCCGATAAATTGGTTGTCGGCGTGGCGGACGGCGTTGGTGGTTGGGCTTCCAAGGGCATCGACGCCGGCGTGTACGCCAGAGAACTCATTGGGAACTGTGTAGTTGCCGTTTCCGGAGACGCTGGCGCCGTGGTGAAACCAAAACGTGTATTGATGGAGGCCCACTCCCGGACCACTGCCGCCGGGTCGTCGACGGCGTGTATTATCTCCTTCGATGGTGAGTTTTTACGGGCGGTGAATGTCGGCGACAGTGGGTTCATGATTTTCAGAGGCGGGATGTTTTCTTACCGGTCGCCGGTGCAGCGGCGGGCGTTTAACCGTCCCTGCCAGATGGGGGTTGGTGAGAAGTACGATAAGCCGGCGGCGGCGTGGAGTGGGAAGATACATATCGCGGCTGGAGATGTAATCGTAATCGGAACGGACGGGCTTTTTGACAATGTGTTCGCGAAGGAAATTGAGGATATTCTGGTGGCGGAGGTGGCGGTAGATACGGCAGAGGGTTTGGCCGGACTGTTGGCGGAGTTGGCGTTGTGTAACTCCTCCGATACGGTAAATGACGGGCCGTTTGCGAAGGAGGCTCGGGAGGCCGGCCGGATCCACCTTGGAGGGAAGATCGATGATATTACCGTCATTGTTGCAAAAGTTACCGCGTCTTGAAGATATTTTCATTTACTTCTTTGTTCTGCACAGTAAAATTTGTTTCTTTTTTTAATATAATTTTTATTACAAAAATGATAAAATAAAAAAAAATCATAATAAATTGATATTTTTTTTAATATAATTTCTAAAAATTTAAAATTTAATATTACTTACTTTTCAACTATAAAGAATATATAAGTGTTTAGTTTAAATATTACAATTAACAGAGTGAGACAGAAATATTATCTCATTCCAACTCCATTTAGCAGTAACTTTCATGATAATATAATCTCATCCTTAACCTCATCAGCTTGACAAAATATTCTCCACTCTTCTCCTTTTCTTATCTAGTGAATCCTCTTCCAGTTCTGGACAAGTCTATGACACGTAAAATTGATATTTCTAATAACACATCTTAACAAAATAAAGTTATTGGTTTAAATTAATTTAATATATTACAATTAAGACAGTGAGATAGGAATATTATCTCATTCCAACCCCATTTATATAGCAGTAAGTGCATATATTTTTTTTAAGGTAAATAATGTCATTTGATCTCAATTCTAACCCGACCATCAAGATATTATTTGCTCTTGAAATTCTTATTATTATATTTTTTTAAAAAAATAAAAAAAATAGAAGATCAATAATCAAATAAAATCCAAACTTACTCAAGGGCCTTCATTTTGGGCCTCAAGTCCTTCTACTTGAAATATAATAGAATTTTATTTATTTTTAACAAATTAATCATATCCATACTTAAATATTTGTCACCTATTATTTTAACCTATGATATTTGTCTCCATTTAATCATTGATATTTGTCTTCATTTAATCATCTATATTCCATTCTCTACTTGCTATCTGAAATCGAGAACGAGAGCGATAATTTAAAACTGCACCAAAGTCAACTCATTGATATACTATAACCTAGTGATCGAAAATCTCTTTTCATGTCCGCAATAGAGCCTCTAGTATATGCAGACTCTTTTGTGTCGTATATTCCGACGTTATAAGTGAAGTTCGTCGAGTCTGTCAGTGCTAGGGTTATTCCTCTTATCTACAACAAGCAGAATGATGTTCTCATTAACGACTTTTGAAAAAAAATTCAACCTTGAGAAATCAAGGCCAACTTCAAGGTTGTTGAAGATAAACTCAAAATCTCTACTATTTAGCTGTTCTTACCAACCCGACGTACAAACACGACAAATACGTGTTAAAATAATTAAAATCTCTACTATTTAACTGTCCTTACCAACCCAACGTACAAACACGACAAACACGTGTTAAAATAATTAGTACGAGAGAATATTTTGATTGATACAAAACTTTAAATCAAAAAAGTTCGGATAGGCACAACTTATTTTTATATATATATATATATAATTGATGGATATTTTTGAGATATTACAATCGACGTGTCGTCCAAACTATGGTCTCACTACGACATGTCGATTGATATCGACATTTAACGAGTAAAAGAAAAGCTACTGGTTATTTCTCATAATTTTGACTCCTGTTAGAGGAGATATTTTTGCTGGTCGTCCGACCAGACGGAACATCAATGGCGGTCTTCGTCTTCATCGAATCATTCTGAAGTCGTTTCCTCTCAGTTCTCCACAGAAATTATTCTACCTGCTACTGTTTCCACAATGCTAAAAGAAGTGGTTGGTGCCGGCCGCCAATCCCATTGCACTTTTTCTCCGTCTCCGATTTTCATCTTCAAATACCTATGGATCTCCTTGTTGATCGTCTTCTCCCTCAAATTTAGCCTCGTCGACGCAGCTAATTCGTTCCCGAACATTCTCATGCCTTCTCAATTTGTTCTCGATTCGTCTCCTTCGTGTACGAAAATGGATCTGAAGTTGAATTACCATCCGGTGATCGGAATTCTTAGCCATCCCGGCGATGGTGCGTCTGGTAGATTAAGCAATGCGACGAATGCTTCCTACGTCGCTGCCTCGTATGTGAAGTTCGTCGAATCGGCCGGAGCGAGAGTTATTCCGATTATCTATACCGAGCCGCTTGAGGTTATTTTCGAGGTAATGATTAGGGTTTGTGAATTTTGAAACCTCGCGAAGCTCAATTAGGGATGATCGAGCTAAGTTCTTACAAAAATGTTGCAGAAACTCGATTTGGTCAATGGAGTGCTCTTCACTGGCGGCTGGGCTAAAAAGGGTTTATACTATTCCGTTGTTGAGAAGATTTTTAAGGTTATCTTCTCTTCTGCTATAATTAGACTGTTTACTCAAAGCGTTTTTCCATAATGTGATTGATTGTGGTGTTTCTGCAGAAAATTTTGGAGAGGAATGATGCTGGGGAACGTTTCCCTTTATATGCCGTTTGCTTGGGTTTTGAAATCTTAAGTATGATCATCAGCAAGGTTATCCATTCCCTGTCATTGACTAAATGATTCTGCAATCCTTTTTTTGAATTCCCTTCGTTTTTTTCTGGAGAATAAAGGTGTGAGATCTCACTTGAGTAGGAGAACAAAACATTCTTTATAAGAGTGAAGAAATCTCTCCCAGTAGACACGTTTTAAAACCTTGAGGGGAAGCCTAAAGAGGGCAATATCTACTAGCAGTGGGTTTAGACTGTTACAAATGGTACTAGAGCCAGACAACAGGCGGTGTGCCAGCGAGGACGCTGGACTCCGACATCGATTGGAGGAGGGAACGAGTGCCAGCGAGGATGTTGGGCCTTGAAGGGGGATGGATTGTGAGATCCCAAATCGGGTGAGGAGAACAGAACATTTTTTTTATAAGGGTGTGGAAACCTCTCCCCCTGGGCCCCGACATCAATTGGAGAAGGGAACGAGTGCCAGCGAGGACGCTGGGCCCTGAAGGGAGATGAAATGTGAGATCCCAAATCAGTTTGGAAGGAGAACAAAACATTTTTTACAAGGGTGTGGAAACCTCTACCCCTGGGCCCCGACATCAATTGGAGAAGGGAACGAGTGCCAACAAGGACGCTGGGACTCGAAGGGGGGTGGATTGTGAGATCCCACGTCGGTTGAGGAGGAGAACAAAACATTCTTTATAAGGGTGTGAAAACCTCTCCTCCTGGGTCCCGACATCAATTGGAGAAGAGAACGAGTGCCAACGAGGAAGTTGGGCCTCGAAGGGGGGTGGATTGTGAGATCCCAAATCGGTTGGGAGAGGAGAACGAAACATTCTTTATAAGGGTGTGGAAACCTCTCTCACTGGGCCCCGACATTGATTGGAGAAGGTAACGAGTGCCAACAAGGACGCTGTGCCTCAAAGGGGGGTGGATTGTGAGATCCCACATCGGTTGGGAGGAGAACGAAACATTCTTTATAAGGGTGTGGCAACCTCTCCCTAGCAGACACGTTTTAAAACCTTTAGGAGAATCCCAAAAGGGAAAGCGGACAATATCGGCTAGCGGTGGGCTTGGGCTGTTACAAAAGCCGATTCATCACACATATGAATCATTAGGGTCAAATAATTTCCAAATATGAATCATATTCGTCTTTATTTACAGGATAGGAACATTCTTGAGCCATTTAACTCATCATATATGGCATCAACTCTGGAATTTGTGGACAATGTGAATATTCAAGGAACGGTCTTCCAAAGGTATGTATCAGTCTTCATGTAGAGTTGAAGGCATTTGCCATATGAATAGCATTTGAACTGTTCAGCTCAGGAAATGTATTAGTTTCTTCAAGTTTTGTGTATCTGCATAGGCTAGGAACGGGAGTGATCACATGGGTATATAATTGAGGACAATTCTCTCCATTGTTGTTCGGTCTTTTGGTTGGAACGAAAAGCAAAGCCATAAGGATTTATGACCAAAGTCGTTAATATCATAACATCGCTGAGATAGGTAAAAGTTATGTTGTCTTTAACAATTGGTATCAGAGTCTCGTGTCTGAACCTAGCTGGAGAAAATCCTCAAAGTGAAACAAAGTGTGCCCTATCAAGTCAAACCATCCCTGATAAGAACTGATCTTTGTTCAAGTGAGGCTGTTTTATGTTCATATCCCATCTTTTATGGGGCTGTTTTATGTTCATATCCTTTAACTTGCTATTGATGTTCTTTTCACCTGTAGATTTCCGCCTTATTTACTCGAGAAGTTGAGTACAGATTGTATAGTAATGCAAAACCATCGTGTAAGTTCTTGTGGGTGCGATCGATGATTGATCGACATTCTTTCGATAACTTAATTCGTACTAATATAGATTGTCTTCTTTTCCATACAGTTTGGTATCTCACCAGGGAGGTTTGAACAAAATAAAGAACTATCCAGTTTTTTTCAGATATTGACAACTAGTAATGATATAGACAATAAGGTACTGTCAAATTTCTCTCAACTCTTTACAAAACAGTATCAGACTTCATATAACTGCACTTATTCAATGCTCCTCTACCTCTACCTGTACCTGTTGCACCTTCAGTAATGCTTATGTCGATTACAGGTCTATGTTTCCACGGTTCAAGCTTGGGATTATCCCGTGACTGCATTTCAGTGGCATCCTGAGGTAACTAATTGTCTACTATTGTCTGTTTTAGCCTGTTACGTATCTGTTTGGGAGAGGTTTCTACACCCTTATAAGAAATGTTTTGTTTCCCTCTCCAACCGATGTGGTATCTCACAGGGGGTGTGGCAAGGTGAGCTAGACATGGTTAAACATATGGTCGAGCATCCTGTGGTCACATGCACGACATCCTCTCCCCCTAAACAAAATAAGTCACTAAAAATTAAATCAAATGGTCTCTCACTTTCTGCTTAACTGATAATTCCGAACTTGTTGGATAGACCATTTCGTAACGTTGGTCATATGATCTTTGTTGATGTATAAATCAATCGGGCGCCTAAGATTCTACGTTTTCATTGCAGAAAAACACCTTTGAGTGGGGCTACTCCATGATTCCGCACACGGAGTATGCAGTTGAAGTGACGCAGCATGTTGCCAACCACTTGGTCAGGTTAGAACATGACAACTTTCTATACACCTTTTTAACAGAGGCCTATCACTAAATCTGTGAGGAGAGAGTGTACCTAAGAGTTGGCCTAAGGATCTTGTAACCGCCCAAGTCCACGTCTACTAGAGAGAGGATTTCACACCCTTTGTAAGGAATGTTTCATCCCCCTTTCCAACCGATGTGGAATCTCACAATCCACCCCCTTTGGGCCCAGAGTTCTTGCTAGCACATGGCCCAAGTCTAGCTCTGATACTATTTGCAACCGCCCAAGCTCACAGCTAACAGATACTATTCGCTTTGGCTTGTTACGTATCGCCGTCAGCTTCACGATTTCACGCGTCTTTTAGAAAGAGGTTTCTACACCTTTATAAAGAATGTTTCATTTTCCTCTTCAACCGATGTAGGATCTCACCGATCCAATAGCCATTAGCAATCAGTTTGAATAGTAAAACTTTTTGCTGGGTTCTTATGATTCATATGGCAAAGTTTGTAAGGAAATTTAAACTTCAATATTTGTGTGTACAGGGAAGCCAGAAAATCATCGAACAGACCACCTGCACAGAAGGTTCTTGAAAGTATCATCTACAACTATAGCCCAACTTTTGGTGGCAAAGCTGGGTAAGTCCAAGTTACTCTCTAGATCTTGCTCTTGTTCTTGTTGGTTTTGTTTGATCCTTTTGTAACAGAGTTCCTTTTTTCAACTTGATGTGCAAATGTAGGAAGGGATTCGATGAAGTTTACATCTTCACATAGTAAACATCCAGCTACTTGATGTAGTTTAATAAAAATCTCGAATGTCAGTTTGTACGACTAATCTTACGAGACAATCGTATGATCCTACTATCTTTAAAAACACGGTAGAATAGAATATCAAATAGTAGATATGTAACCACCATGAATGGTACTCATATGCTTGTTGAATATCATTCACTTAATCTAAATTTTTGTATCTTTATATATGTATATATTATTGTATCTATATTTAGACATGATGTGTTGTTGTTCATGTAGAGTGATGATTTGGTGGATTACTTGTAACAGCATATTGTTTGTTTTAACTTGTTACATATCATTATCAAGCCTCATAGTTTTAAAACACGCTTGTTAGAGATTGTTAGAGAGAGGTTTTCATACACCCATAATTTAACATTTTTTCAAAAGTTAAAAAGATTAAATTATAAAAAAAATAATTTTAAACTTTGTCGTACACTTAAAATTACAATATTACCCTTAATGTTTTTAAATGTTTTAAAACTGTTATGGGCCGAAAGTGGAACAAATGTACTCACAATACTAATGAACGAAATTACACAAAGAGACACCAAAATATTTACATGGTTCGGAGAGAAGAAGTTTCCCTACATTCACGGGTAGCAACAGATCCTACATCCATGGGTAGCAACCAATCACTAATAAAACAAAACGTTTCGGAGAGAAGAAGTTTCCCTACATCCACGGGTAGCAACACATCCACAGGTAGCAACCAATCACTAATAAAACAAAACGTTACAAGTGAATATCTCACTATCACGCTATATAGACTCTCACCAACATGTCACTCAAGAAATACAATGTGACACACAAAATATTCCGGTATGACTAAATCTAATTCAAATAACCAAATCAAATATAATCCAAATAACCAAATCAAATCTAACCCAAATAACCAAATCAAACCATTCATTTGAATTAAAAAAAAAAAAAAAAAAACCCGATTAGAATAGTGGATGACAGGTCTACACAACATAATATGTTTTTCAATTATTGTCACGTTGTTTCAAGTGATATCATCATTTAACACACTGCTCGGTGTCTAGCTTTGATACAATTTGCAACAGCCCAACCCATTACAAGCAGATATTGTCTGCCTTGGCTCGGTCGTCTCATGATTTTATAAAGCGTCTATTAGAAAGAGATTTTCACACTTTTATAAAAAATATTTCGTTTCATTTTTTCAATCAATGTGAGATTTCATAATCTACCTCGGTAATATTGCAAAATTTAAAATATAGGGCAAAATTCTCTCTCTCATATTATATATATATATTTGACCATTTAGGGGAACTTAAAAGGGAGAGGAAAAGTAGAGAGTTAGGGCGTAAAAGAAAGGCATACAAAATTCCGTCCTTGGAAATGGCGGGAAAGAGTGAGTAGTCGAGGAGGGAAAATCTTTGATCTCTCTCATTCTCTCTATCTCGCGCCTCTACTTCCCCTTCTCATTCTCCGTCGTCTTCCCATCTCATTCTCCGTCGAAGGAGGTGATAGTACTTCAACGCAAATGGCTGACATCGAAACCCTAGGCATTCTCCAGGACATCGAATCCCTCGTCGCTGATAAGCTTCAAGTGGTATCTACCACTCGCTCGCTTCCTCTTCCTTTAGATTCTATTTTCGCCGTTCACCAGTCTTCTTAATCATATTTCATTTCAGTTTCTTTTCTTTGGTTCATGGAGCCAGTCTACCACTACGATTTTTGTTAATTTCGATTGAATTTATTTTGCTTCCTCTTCCTTTAGATTCTATTGGCCTTGCAGTCATTTGTAAGCTAGTTTTGTTGCTTAGTTGTTTTATAGTTTTGATGGATTTATGTTTCTATGAAAAATTCGTCTCTATCACGGAAAGTAGCATTTCCAAGACAAATGTAACATGTCTTCTCATTGTCAGGTGTTGCCCTACGTTGTTTACATATAGGGAGAGGCTCATCACCAAAGAGCTTTTAAATTTCTTCCATGAATTTTCTGTATTTTATGTTTTTGGATGGTGAAAATTGTACTAGGGAAAAGGAAGAAATTTTTTGGGGTTTTTTGTGCTTACAATTAGTCTTCGGGTTTTGCTTCTAAGGGCTGACTTGGCCATTTTTGACTGAGGAGTTCTGCATCAGTTTCATAAGATCACTGGGCTTTTTTCTTTTTTAGTTTTGATGTACATTTTTCATTATTATTCGAAATTATAATTTAGAACTTGGAGTAAATTTAGTTTCTAGCTAGCGAACACCTGCTAATTTCGTTCAGCATTTTTACTCAGGTTTCCTACAAGTGGCTAAGTCGCAGTTATTTGATATCTTCGGATACTGCAAAGAGGTTAGAAAGTTGGCATATAAAAATTGCACGCGATTAGTTGGTCCTCGTTCAATGTTTCTAATGCTGAGTTGTTATGTAGGTTGCTTCAGGAATTTGTTGAAAAGCATGAAAGTGGATTACAAGTGGTCTATGCCTTGTCCGGATGGTTGAAAAATGACCCCCCAAGCTACCATATTAGGCTTGTTTCTGATTCAAAACTTCCTGGTTAGCTTCTAATTCGGTGCATGCTTTTACACACGTCTCGATGATTCTCTTTTCTTATAGAAAGAAGGTTTGGATAATATTAGATATTACATTTGCTTGTAATAAAAAAAATTGTACTGCCAACCTTAGCATAACTTTACCGAATTATAATCTTGACAAAAAAGACGAGGTTTAAATCCCCACATCCACAACATTAAAAAAAAAATTGTATCTTGATAAAGCTATAAACCATATTGAAGTCTTGCAGTATTTAAAACTCTGTCCCCATGTATGTTATTCGAAGTTGAGTGTCTATTCCAGGGACTCAACGACTTGAGTTTATTCTTTACTATTGAACAGAAGCAAAGCAAGATTTTGATGGCACCTGCTCGATTCAAGTTTATAGTGTTCAAGCTTCCATCCCAAAGGATCCAGCCGCACTGTGGAATGCTGAATTTGTTCAGGCAGAAGAGCTCTTCAAGCAGCCCTTCACTGTTGGCAATTGTTTGCGAGATAACAGGTTTGTTGTACTTGGCCCAGTTAAATTTCACTTAGATGGTTTATAGTCATTTTGTCTTCTGTTTTTCTATTAAGCGTTTCTTGGTAGTGGGCATGGGTTTGAACTTGCAACGTTTGTCCCACTTAATCCTTATTTACTGAAATGCTAGAAATACATCTTTTGGTCGAAAGAAAATGAATAGATTGAAAAGGTACTGCATTGCATCCACACAAGCCTCCTGATAATGTCCACAATACCGATCTCGGTATTACATACCATGCACTTCCTTGAGACGTAACAATAATGGGATTTATCTTTCTCTGTAGTTGTGGTGCTATTCGATTATATTAGGTTTACGATTCCTGGTTGGCTCTTTATTTCTCTAGTGTAATAGCCTTGGCAACTCATTCGCCTTTATTCGTTCTAATTCTTTAGGTTCTGTGGAATTTCCAATTCCTATGTCAAGCGCAGCATTGGTGAGATACCTGCAAGCGTTGCGGCTCCTCAGCCAAGAAGTGCAGTGGGTGCAGAATCAACAAAAAAGAATGAATCATGTCAAAATACTGCCATTCCTCAACCTCAAAAAAGTGAAATGCACAAAGTTAATCCTAATGTTGGTCTACAGAGTCCCCCTGTGGTTAAAGAAGTTAAAGGTGAAAATAACAGTACAGGGTCATTTCATCAGACCTCCAAGCCAATTGCAGTTAAAGAAAAAGTTGCTTCCTTACCTGCTAATAAGAAGAGACCTCAAAGTGATAAAACCTCTTCCAGCACTGAAGGTTCATTAGCAAACTTGTGGGGACGTGTCCCTACTAAGTCCAAGCTCAGTGACAACCATGAAAATGTGAAGCATGCCACTGCAAACCCTACTGGTTGGTTATCCCTCCGGGTTGATTTCATTCTAATTTTTGCATGCTTCTAATTGGACTGATTATGAAACACTTGTTAGTTCAGAATGAAATTTTAAAAGCACTGTACAGAAAATATTGGAAGTAATTTCGGCATAATACCAACTTTTTTCTTTCTAACCCTTGCTTTCCGTTGCAGTATCGAGTGCAGAGGCACAAATTTGCGCACATGAAGGACTACAGAGCGACAACAGTGATGATGACGATCAAAATGTAAATATCAAGAGGACCTCCAATGAAAGTGGAAGAAAAAGGAGGGTGGTTATTGATTTCTCAGATGATGAAGATTTTGAAGATGCAGTCAGTTTAGCATCACCTGAAAATCCGAAGGATCAATCATGTTTAGATCTGAAGCAGAACACTGAATTGCATGAAGAGGAAGCTCATTTGAACAATGACAAACAACAGAACGGTGAACTGAAAATGGAGGAGGAAAAGACCTGTGTATCGAAGCAATCCTTGGCAGAAGAAAAACATCAGAATTCCTCCCTTGCAGTGAAAAACGAGGCTTGTGCCCATGAAAATGTCTCTAATAATAGAGAGAAACCAATAGATGCTGCTCCTGCTTCACCCAAGAGGAGAAAAGTATTGAGGACAAGAATTGATGAGCGTGGGAGAGAAGGTATACCTACATACAGCCTATTTCACATTAGATTGCCTTCTTTTTGGGGCTTGGTTTAAAGAAATTTATTTCTTCGAGGGTATTTTCAAACCTGCCTTCTTCACCCTATAATTGATGGATATACTTAACTGCCGCTACATGTTTATTTACATTTATGTTTCTGGAAGTGAAAATAGTTTCCATTTTCACATGTTGAAAGATTACTTTCGAAGGAGCAATACAATTTTAGCAAGAAATGTCTTTTGGTGCATTAAGTTATTTTGTTTTATTCCAACTATTTGCATGTGCTGAGAGATTGGTTAACAGAACATGGTGATTTTAAAAGAGGTTTTCATTTTGCTAATACATGATAATGTGGAAAAATTAATTCATCTTTTTATCTTTACCTTGTGGTTTAATCTAATTTTTTTTTCTAATTTTACTAGTAAATGAGGTGGTTTGGGAGGGTGAAGAGCAGGAACAGAAGAAGGATGATGTCTCTTCAACAAAAAAATCTGATCATAAAGCAGCAGAGACTACTACGAACAGGTTACTTCGATGTCAACTCCTTTTCTTCCATGCATGAAATTATCCACATCATGTTATGTTTTGTGACTTCTGCACTAATATTCTATCTATCAACTATTCATGTTCCGTTTTATTCATTATCTTTGAGGGTTTGATATAGACAGCCTTTGTAAGTATAAATATGAGTGCTCGTTAAGTAGTAAGCAAGAAGTACGTTGCTATTATTTAGAACAGAACTGATCTGCAAAATATTAAATTGAAAGCCTTACACTTCCTAGGCTTCTAGTTTCAAAGCTGTAAGGTTATTGCCTCCACCAACCATTTTATGATTACAACCCTGTTTGCTTGCGCGCACACATACACACACACAAAGACGAGTTCTATTGTACCATGCTTTAGTTTAAAGTACTTTTGTTCGTCATTCAATAAGATTTTAGTTTTTGGGTATGGAATCCAGGCCTCCTCCGGCCAAGAAGTCACCAGCATTGGGCAATAGTGGTGCAAATGCAGCAGGGAAAGCAGGAGCCAAGAAAGCTGGAAATGCGACTGGTCCCAAACAAGGAAATATTCTTTCTTTTTTCAAGAAGATTTGAGGAAATGTCAGTCGAGCAACTTTGTAAATGAAATGTTTATGGTATCCAGCTTTTGATACCCTTTTTCTGTTTTTTTTTTACTCTTTTTCTGTGGATTGAACGGTAGTTAATAAATGCAAAGCTAGGTGTTGATTTTTATGAAAAAGTGCTGTGATTTTTCTGTGGATGGACCGATATGACCTTCCCAGATTGAACTCGGTAATTCGGAAGTCAAAACCAATTCGATTCGATCTGCTTAATTTTTATACTTCATCTTCAGTGAACAAAATTGTTGACATTTAGTCATTGATCATGAACTATCCATTAAATTGAAATGTACTGCCTTGAATTGTACTTCTCACTTCATCTACTGCTGTCAATTTGGTCTGTTTTTTTTTTTTTTTTTTTTCATTTCATAATTAAAGTGTTACGCAAATACAATGTTTGTCAGTCAACATGTGATATTTTCGTTACTTCAATCGAATTGGGTTTATTTTAAAAAGTTCATATTATTGATTGTAGTATGATATGAAACATATAATTAATTTGAGATTGTTTAAACATGGTAATCCACCCCGGTTCAGATCCTTAAAACCCATTTAAATCGGATATTATGAGATAAGTCTCAAAGTATAAAATTCAAAATTCAGAACCATTTGTATGGAAAAGAAGGCACTAAAAATAGTTGAGAGAGCAATAAGAAATGGCGATGGGTAAAGCAATATTCCAGGCTTTGGGGGTGGCATCAACAAGTGACAATTCCAAATAGACACTTGATTCGATCAAAAGGAAGCTACAGTGAGTTAGCATAATAATAATAATAATAATAAGCCCAATCCAATCCATCAATGTGAGAGACGGTATGAAACAGTGTTGGTTGTAATATACATGATGATTTACAATCAATTTAGCACGCAAAACATACAATTCCTCATTGCTTATTACTTCAAATCAAGTTGGTTGGCTCGCTCAAAACATACTTGGGCAGTTCGTATCTTGCACCTGCATCAGTTTTATTCTTGTAAATTGGAATCAACCGAAGTAGAGGGATGGAGGGTGTCAATGTAAATACCTCTTTCATCGTAACAAATTGTTAAATCAGCACTTTGTACAATGACGCCTGCACTATCCACTATTGCTTGTGCTAGTGTCAGATCAGCTTCTGCAGCAGCTCGTAGTGCATCCCATATCTCTGTTCTCCACAAAATACACAAAACTTTTATTGTTATTAAACACACTCAGGATTTGCTTCTTTCATCTTCAACTTAATATCAACTGTTCATCAAATCAAACTAAAACTTCTCTCTCTACTTTCATGCAGATATTCAGCCATTTTAAAGCTTCAGCACACCTTGAGCTTCTTAACCAAATTGCAAATTAGATGGAGCTGAACTTTGGTCTAATGAATTCTTTTGTACATGTGTTACTCCACAACCTTGAATCATGCTTAACATCAATATGTGCATATGAATTTTGCATAGGAAGATGTGCAGCTTCATATGCAAAATGTATGAAATGAAATTTGAAGCTGAACTGAACTTAAAAGCCTCAGATTCTGCTGAATTTGTGAGATACCACATCGGTTGGGGAGGAGAACGAAGCATGAGAAAACCTCTCCCTAGCATACGCATTTTTAAAACCTTGAAGGGAAGCTCGAAAGGAAAAGCCCAAAGAGGACAATATCAGAGCTAGAAACTGGTGGTGTGCCAACGTCCCCCAAAGGGGGTGGATTGCGAGATCCCACGTTAATTGGAGAGGGGAATGAAACATTCCTTATAAGGATAAGGAAACCTCTCCCTAGTAGTCGCGTTTTAAAAACCTTGAGGGGAAGTCCAAAGAAGACATCCATACACGAAAGAAGATAGGCATACATTGGATAGTTATACTCCATTCACGATGTACACTCTGCTAAACATATTCTAATCTATCTAGAGGTGCACGATTCTGTCTACATTTCAAAACGGAGATACGTAAGAACTCACTAACTAATACACCTAACTAGTAAGTATTTTTGACAGATTTAATCATCACTAACGAACGAATGTTCTAACGCATGTTCTAACAAATGAGGTGATGGAAGATACTCAATAGCATAGTCTTAAATAGAGATCACCTTTAGAGATCCATAATACAAAATCAATTTCCTTTACGGTTATTGTAATAGCCCAAGCCCACCGCTGGTAGATATTGTCCTCTTTGGACTTTTCCTTCGGGATTTTAAAAAACGTATGATAGAGAGAAGTTTCTACACCCTTATAAAGAATGTTTTGTTCTCCTCCCTAACCGACGTGGGATCTCACCGTTCTGACATGCTAAATATAGAAGATTACTTCTCATTAGTCATGACTAACTATGCAATGAATTCTTGACACATTACCTTAAATCATATATTTGCATGAGCATTAAGAACTTCTTTCAGTAATAATAATCTCAGTTGTGGTCATCAAATATGATATCCAAATCAATGAATTAGCTTGAATTTAATAACACCTGTAACCAGAAATATTGTGCAAGACCCAAAAAAAAGTTCAAGATTACAGCAATACCTTTTGTGCCACCATAATGAGGAGCAGTATCCCAAAATTCATCACGCATCCGCGCAAGATCTGTCTTTGTTATTGGCTGGGGATGCTTCCAAGCTTTAGGCTTCCGAATTTTTTTCACAGGCCCTGAATCACAAAAAATCTTCAAGTGACTAAAAAGGATGGCATAAGTTCCTTATAACTCTAGATATTAGCAGCTGATGAACTATGATTGCAGAAAAGAAGTTGAAGTGCGTGGATTAACGGTATGATCAATGATAGAACTAATCACATCGACATTACAACACAGTAAGCCACCGTGCTTGCTTGTCTTGCTAAGATTATTAACATTAAATTCCTCGTTACCATGAGAATTTCTCCAAACATTTCCATCATCTCATTGAACAATAGTATCTTATCGGGTTTTGAAACTCGATTACACGAGGCACAATAGTATCATATTGGCTTATGAAACTCGATTACACGAAGCACAATAGTATCATATCGGCTTTTGAAACTCGATTACATGAGGCACAACAGTATCATATTGGCTTATGAAACTCGATTGCATGAGGCACAACAGTATCATATTGGCTTTTGAAACTTGATTACACGAGGCACAATAGTATCATATCAGCCTCTGAAACTCGATACACAGCCACAATAGTATCATATTGGCTTTTGAAACTCGACTACACAAGGCACAACAGTATCATATTGGCCTTTGAAACTCGATTACATGAGGCACAATAGTATCATATCGGCTTTTGAAACACGATAACACAAGGGGTTCAGCCGAATTAGCATCTAACAGCAGGGGTGTATGAGATGCAAACAATTAACCTCCCTAAATTAGCAGCCCCAATTAAAAGCTTTAGCAATCAAATCAAGTACTACAACAAAACAAGAAACTAATCAATCTCATCTCTTCAATACCAACAATTGCATGCTTAAGAACCTCCAAACCAGTTGTCCTAAAACGAAAAGCGCAATAAAAACGTAAATTACACTAAGAACAAAACCAATCATCAGTTCTAAGCTTAAAATCCCATCAGTGAATCACAAATACCAAAATGCCAACAATCAATTCGCTCGACAACAAATCCGATTCAAATCCACAAATTCTCATCACACATTCCGCACACAACAAACCCAACACGATTAACCACTTTCATCAAAGTAGGATCAAGCCAAATTCATCGAAGAATCGAAAACAATAAAATCCCAATATTAAGCATCAGAAAGAAGATGAAATCGTTCAATTCCCAGAAGAAGAATCTCAGAAAAGAATCAGAATATGAAACGGCAAGTAATAGGACAATCTCACCGTCGCCTTTGGCCTGCGACGATCCGGCACAACCCATTAAAGAGCGCAAAATTACAAGAAGAAAGAAAGAAGGAAGGATGAGAAGAGATGGAAGAGGGAATGGGAGATTTGGGAAGAGAGCGAAGAAGCTTCGCTGAGAGTCCAAAAAAGTCAAAAGCCGAAGCTGAGTTTACAGCGCCTTTTTTTTTAATAATAATAATTTTGTTACAACATTTTGGTTACTTTCATTCCTTCCATTTTTGTCCTTAACATATCTAATTTCGGTGGTTTGTTTCTTCAAATTGGTATTTTTTAAATAAATAAATAAATTTGTATTAATTGAATAATAACAATAATTTTCATATTTTTAAAATTTATTTAACAAAAAACTAATGGAAATTATATTTTTTTTAGAAAAGTAAAAAAATAAACAAACAGAACTTAGGTTACGAAATAAAAAATAAATAAAAAATTAAAATTTAGTTAAATTTGAGATCTATGAAAACAAAAGAATCCAATAAATACTTTTTAAATTTTAAAAATTAATTATTATATTTATCAAATAATTTATATTAGGAAAAAAAATTGTATATCTTTTTGATATTCTATGTCTATTTATTTTTATTTATTTTGATATTTATAATTATTAAAATTGACTTTTTAGAATATTATTAACGGATGACTAATAAAACCATATTATAAAGGTATGCAAGATATGACAATTGATTTCAAGTTTATCTCTTTAGCCACACATAACATTTGTTGAAAAATATTATTTTTAATTTCATGTAATGGTCAAATTTACTTTGTGTGGAGACTGAGGGGATTGGAATTAAATGTCGGCCACAAATGTCTCTTGTCGGGAGACTATAAATACCCAAAAATTGTTACGTAAAAAAGGAGATTCGTGGATGAATGAAATTGAGATCTCAAATTAAGACGTTTCTTCCGAGCATCAATTTGAAGTTTCAACAAATTCTTGTGGTAGAATTACATCTGAGCCATTAAATAAATTTTGATCAAGTTCGATTGTGGAGTGAGCAATTTAGAACAAAGTTCCAAATATTGCTTCTAGATTTTTGATCGATTACATCCGAGTCATTGAATCAAGTCTTGATCAAGTTCGATTACAATTTTGAACAAGGTTCCAAATCTTGCTTCTAGATTTTTTATTGTAAGAGGTAATCTAATTCTACCCTCATCTCTGGGTTTTGGATCTTTCATTGTAAGAGGTAATCTAATTCTAGCCTCATCCGTGGGTTGATCCAAATTTTGTGTGAGGAGGTGTTAATGGGTTGATCCGAATTTTGTGTAAGAAAGTGTTAATTTCTTTGTTTC